TGATTCAGAAAATATACCAAAAACTCAATTAACTTATGATTCTCACTTTCACTCACCTTAATCTCTTTGTCTTCATGGTGGATTCTAGTGTAAGAATTATATTCCATCGATTTGATAAGACCGCGTTCTTTCAGCGACACGAATACCAATAGCACATCTTGCTCCTCCCAGCCATAGTCTCTGCAAAATTACAATACAAAAATTCGCACGAAAATTACCAAAATTTTTATATCATTCAAAATAAATTATATTTATGCTAGTACATACTTAGCTAAATCTTCTGGTGTAACCGGATTTGGATAGGCTTGTTCAATTAATTCGAGCACCTTTTCCGGCGTCAATGGCGGAGATTCAATTTGTGATTCCTCCAGTGAAACTGCAAATTCGCACAGTGAATATGAATAAATGCAGAAAAGGGGAGAAAAAAGAGAAATATGCATTCAATTAAGCGAATTTGTTAATGGCATGCAAATGAAGACTAAACAAAAAACAAAAACAAAAAACCAGAGTATGATTATATTCATGTAGGTATGTAGTTGCATGCGTAACCGTTGTTTTATTAATTTAATTAAAGTAGATAATTTGCATTCAATAAATGGCAGTACAAGGGCCAGAGCAGCGAGTAAATTGGACATAGGACAACCGTGAGTCAGTGAAATGTAGATGAATGGTGTCTTGTTTTTAATATTTACAATGTTTTTCAAAATACCATCTTTTTGATATTTTTTATGCTCATGCTTTAACAAAAAACAGTAATAAATTAAACTTTATGCGGAATTTAGAAAAATTCCAGAAAATTTTAATCTAAATTTCGAGCTTCTTAACCAGAGTTTTTATAAATTTTTTTGGGTATGCAGTTAACAGGCTTATAAAATTTTAGTAAAATAAATAAAAGTTTTGAGCGGCTAAAAAATCGTATTGATTGTATTTTTTTTTTTTGACGACTTTATGTACTTTTTTCCAAATAAACACGAATTTCTTGAGGAAGAATATGCTCAAGACCGTTTACGAAAAAATAAAAAAAATCAACGCCCGTTTTCCTAAATTTCGCTATTTATATAAAAAAAAAACCGCAAAAGTTGTCAGCGAAAAAAAATTTAAAATCAATGCAATTTTTTTATTTCTCTTAAAATTTCTAAGCCTGTTAACTGCATACCCAAAAAATTTATAAAAAACAGTGTAGTTAAAAAGCTCAAAATTTAGATAAAAATTTCTGGAATTTTCCTAAATTCTGTATAAAGTTTGAAAAAGTGATTTATATGGTTTTTGTTAAAACATGAACCATATTTTTATAAAAAAAAAATACCAAAAAAATGTATCCTGAAAAACATTGTAAATATTAAAAACGAAACATTATTCATCCATTTTTGACCGCCACTGTATGTACAAATATAAGTAAGTACCAATATTGCGCAATTATGAGGCATAAAATTCCAGACAAAAGCCAAATGATTTATTGGATGGTTAAAGTGCTCAAGCGTTCAGGTTATGGCGAATTGCATTTAGCAAGACTTATCACGGCAGGAAAACTTCACGTAAAAACATAAGTACCTCCATCGATGTACCTAGTACCTACATGTGTGGCACTCGTTTATGAGCCAATCGAATTATAATAAAATAAAAGCAAACGCGCAAAGAAAACACCAGCCGTCATATAAAAAGCAGAGACCGAGACCAAAAGGTATGATTGAAATCAAATGCCGTTCTCGTAGTTTTTTTCTCTAGAACGCTTCAAAACCGAAACCGAAATGAGAACAATGCATGATTTGTAAGTGACTGTAATATTTGAAAATGAAGCTTTTTACTATAAAAAAGCTGAAAACGCTTCAAAAAACATGCCGAAATTTCGTGAAGGGTGTCGTGGGAATTCTGTTGCGGAAATTTTGATGTCAAAAATGCAACTCGCTCTGGTCGAGTACTCATTGGAAAAGTCGATGAAATGCAAATGGTTGTAAAAGACAGACGTGCGAAGCTGTCAGGAGATAGCGCAGGCACTAAATACAAGTAATTTTTAGCAAAAAAAAACCGACTTCAACTCCCATATAAAAAAAAAATATATATATATATATCTCAAGATCCACTGATCGGATCTCAACCAGATTAGTATGGGACCACCTTTGAGTCACTACCTTTCCGATGCAAAAAGAATTATCGAAATCGGTTGACGTGGTCCAAAGTTATGCGGTAACATACATAAAAAAAAAATAAAATATTCCGACGAACTGATAACCTCCTCCTTTTTTGGAAGTCGGTTAATAAATAACATAACTGTTTCGGCGTGACTACTAATACCAAGCGCCTAAATGCATGCTATTCACTGCTGCATAAATTTCATAAAGGAAATTTTTGCACCTATACTTCTCAATTGCCATATAATAAAGCCTTCTTTAGTTATAATTTGTTGGCACTTCAAAGTATGCTCGGCTTAGTCTGATGAATCTTTCGGACCCTACTTCCGGAGTTTACTGCGTACTCTTCGTGGCTTACAACCATGCAGAGGTGAAAACTGTTGGTTAACGTTGGCCACAGTGCTTACCCACTGCTTTTTGGTCCAATAATTTTTTTTCTCCTCTCACTGAGTTATTTGATGCTAGTTTGGAGTCGTCTAAAAAGAGCAGTCTATTCAAAGAAGCTCGAAGTTTGGGTGCTAAATGAATTAGGGCAAAAAAAACTTAATCGAAACAATGCATAAGCGCAACGAAAGCGCACCATTTTTTAGGCCCCTAATTGCAACAAAATTAGCCCTATAAAAACTGAAACAATTAGCTGGCAATTAGTAACTAATTGGCAGAAAATTGTCGTAAAATTGTTCGTGCAACGCTGTGAAGTGTGGTTAATGAGAAGAGCAGAGGTATGTTCAGTAAGAAAACGAAATGTCATGTCAAGGAATTGTCGTCGTTGAAGACTTTCCGAGTCAAATTGATGGAACTTGGCTGGGAAGTTTTAATGCATCTACCATTATTGCCCGAACCTTGCAATGTCCGACTTCCATTTGTTCCGGTCTCTGCAAAACTCTCTTGATAGTAAAAAATTGGCCCACCGAAGAGCCGCTGACAATCACTTGGCCAAGTTTTTCGTCGAGAACCACAGAAGAATTATGATCAATGGCAGATTTTTTGTAAATTTTTTTAAAGCCTGTTCTTTTATAAAAAAAATCAACCTACCAGCGAAGAAAATCGAGGTATGCATAAATAAAAAAAAAGTTGTGAATGATGAAATGAGAATGCACAATGATTTTTTTTTTAATAAAATATGAGCCGGAAAAAATGTTGCTCATACCTGATCTAGAAAACGGCCCGATTAAAACGATATACAGATCTGTTATCTATGGCCCAAACTTAAGTTTAGATGTATCACCATTTTTTGAGGAGGGACGCTAAAGTCCCTACAGTATAATTGCCAATATGTTATTGATTAAAATGTATTTTCAATAAATTTTCCCAAAAATCCGCATGACCCAATAGTTTTTTTTTTTTTAATAAAAAATATAGTTCATAATTTAGTGAGACAATAAAAATACCTTCCAACTATTAAAACAACAGCAGGACTCTGGTGATCCTAGCTAAGTAAGTATACCTAGTGCTATTGCTAATTATTTATAGGAAACGATTCATATTCCAAATTCGAGATTGAATTAAGCCACGAAGCGAAATCAAAGGCACTTTCCTCGAAACGAAAATTTCATGTATCGTGGCCATAACTTGAAAATAATTGGGCTCAAGATTTGGAGTTGCATGCGCATAAAAACGGTATTTCGCGTAGGCTTACAAGAAAATCCAACGGCGTCATCTCGCCGGGTCTTGAAGCCGATTCGACATCGTCACAACGAGACTGGGAAACCTCCCTTGCAATATACCCCTCTTAATAAAAAATAAAAATAAATTGGTCCAGCACCACTTTTGTAGTAGTATCTAGATTTTAATAATTTTAATAAGTAAGAAAGTCGAAAAGGATTACATAGAAAATCTTCTGAGAGTTGAAGCTTCTCCTTCAAGCCCATTTTATTTGTAATCCATTCCCAGGAGATGCTTCCGTTGGCGTAAGGCAACCAAGTTTCACTGCCTTTTAGAGAATAATAACTCTCCAGTTTTATCTAAAGACTTCCGTCCATTCACTCAGTCCGTCGTTTGGATAGAGGAGCCTCCACTTATTAAGAATTTGTGGTAGTGTCTTTCTTAGCCATCGAGGAAGCAGTAATTAAATCACTAGATAAGCTCGGGACTCAAACCAAATTAATAATCATCTACAACCATCCGTGCGACGAAACTGTCGCAACTAAGTGAAGCAGCGCCTCCTTGTAGCGTCGACTGAACAAATGCATCCTGCTGCGTGTGGTGTGTGTTGCTAAACGAGGATTCATTGCCTATGCAGAGGGGGTAGCACTTATGATTAAATGTAGATTTCTGGATACGTTATCAGATCTGAGCAAAGATTACCTAAATCTGGTGACTGAATGGGCGGCTAATGAAGGCCTCGCCTTTAATCCTAGTGCGACATAGCTGGTCACAAACGCCACTCTTCCCTCAATTGGAGATATTCCCCCTCAGTTATCCGACAGGGTCAAGCACTTGGGCCTGATCCTTAATATCGTAGAAAACTAGCATTGAAGAAAGAGCGAGGAAGGCATCAGTTACCTTATGCTTCTGCAGGGGAGATACTGGTAGGCAAATAATTTCTTAGCTCTATGGCGTCTTAGTTAAGGCTGTTATGTTTTTTGGAATCCTCGTCTGGTGAAATTTCTTAAAAAGAACTGAAGTTGATGAAAGGGTTGAAGGTGAAACTTCTTCTATGAGCTCTTCATCAAGATCAAGTTTAGGCTTTCATACTGCGGTTTTCAGGCAGAAGAAGCTGCCATTAAATCAATCACGGATATACTCTGAAAGCTAAGCTTATATTGCGCTCAAAATTGGGTCATATTTTCTAATTAGTCAAATTTATTGGATACCCAGCCACAGTGAAATTACAGAAATTTGGCGAGAAGAGTACTCTCTTGAAATATCACCGCGAAGACAGCAAACGGAACCGAACGATAACAATACACGATAACCATAAACTAGGATATACGAAAAAGCAAGTAGGTATACATATATTCTGAGGTGCTATTAGGAATAAATAGCAATTCTGGTTACCAAAACCTAACTGGTCTAGAAATGCCAAATGGAATTGCGCTCATTCTCTCTCAATCAACGAGCATCTCCCTTGCATAATTTATCGGACATAGGAGCATCGTAAGCAATGAGAGAGCAGGAGCATGTTTGGATGAATCTGCTGAAGCCATGTCCTAGTGCCGTCTTTGACTAATCCAACGGGAAATTAGTCTAATTTTTTTTGGACTGGCTAGGACAAGGTGGTCAGATATACATACATATAGGCTTGTCGCGGCTGTCGGCTGGAATATAGCGAAAAAAGTGTGAATGCTCCGGCTTTGCGAATATTGGGTAAAAAAACATTCGGAAGACTTTTAGTAAAACAACACACTTACCTATCAGAAGCTAGTACAAGTGAAGTGGGTAAAGTCACAAGGGAAGCTAGGTAGTTTTATTAGGTTAGGTTAGGTTATAGCGGCAGCCACCCGTTGTGATACCGCTGGCCGGAGCCATTTGTTTCTTTCCCTCCCTTAGTAACTGAACCACCGAGTGCGTTTTTGAGCAACATTTACTTCTCATGTTTCCATCCCCCTTCTCTGCTGATCGGCTAAGCTGTTGCCAGTAATGTTCCTATGTCCAGGTACCCATACAACAGGCAAGGTGCATTTTGATGCCAGCAGATTGACAGTCTTGCTGTATTCTATGACTACTTTGGACGCTCCTACGTTAGATTTAAGACATTTGATAGCAGCCTGGCTGTCAGAATAAAGAGCGATAGGCCGTCCTGGAGGCGAGAAGGTTATCAACCTCCGAGTGGCTCCGAGTTTTACTAAGTAATTTAGGATTTCCACAGAAAAAACTCACTTTCCTCGATAAGGGCAGCAAATAATTTTATCCTTGCCTCCGAACCGGGGGCAGAGAAAAGACTCCTTGTGCTTTTAAGTTCTCGGCTCCTACTTTTGGTGAGAGTTCTGGGAATTCGTTACCTGACAGGAATTCACACGGTAAGCCTAAGAATGACATGTGCTGGAATAACCTCAATGTTTGCATTTTAACACCAAAAATATTTCAAAGAAAGACACTCAAGTGGCTTTGCTTTATTAAGTCTAATTTTATTTATATTTTTTTTATTATGTACATTTGTATTTCATATATGTAACACAGAAAAGGCACTTATGTTGATGAGTGGTAAAACGAGATATGATGCACCAAAGTAACAATAATAAACGCAATTATTTCAACAAGAAAAAACACAACAAAACATGCGAACGTAAGCAAATATGAACATTACGGCAGCTAGGCAGCAGAAAAAGGACAATAAAGAAAAAATGTATCGCACGCGAAAAACAAAAACCGCACAAAAAAAAAAAAGAAATTAAAAAAACAAAAAATATATACGAAATTAGAAAGAAAGATGATGGATAGATAAGTTCATCAGCGACGAGAGGTAAACATTTTTTGTTTGTTTATTTGTGTAAAAGTAACTATGGAGTAGACATAAATAAATGCAACCCAGCCAACGAGTACCATGATTATCAGATAAACATACAATAAATAATTTTTTTTTTTTGTGTATTTAGGTTTTATCGAAATTTCAATTGTTTTGATGAAGGTTCTTTCTTTCGCTTCTCGCTTTATTTTGGTTAAGGCTTTTTTGCTTTGTTTGTTAATTTGCAGCACGCTTGCGCTCCCAATGCGGTTGTTAGGGTGGAGTATGAGGAATGTTTTATTCGATTATTGTTATTATTATTATTATTGTTTTTTGTGGCATTGGTGAGCCAAAAGCACATTTATGTATGTAAATATTTAGTTTATATCCAATAGTATGCAAAAATGTACATTTAATTATATGCATGTATGTACATGTTTATGCATTTGGATGCGCGCGCGCTCGCGCTAATTAAGTTTTTTAACTATTTGCGACGTGTTAGTTGCTCATTGTACATATCCAGCCAAATGGCTTTCATTAAATCATCGCCATCACCTGTTTTACGCTGCGCCTGCAGAGCCTCCTCGAATTTTCGATTACAATCACCATAACAATAAATAATGTAACCATCGCGAGCTATTTTTTGTTTTTTTTTTTCATTTATGTAGAGAAAAGAATTCATTCCAATTCGAAGTCGCAACATTTCGATGGAAGTTGTTGAAAGTCGTAAGGCGGGGCGGGGGGCGCGCGGTGGTCGCAAATGGGCAGGCGTGAAATATTTCAATTGTGGGCGAAAAGGAAATCAACCATACAAATATGCGACGAAAAACCCATTTTAGTCGTGATGGAAGAAGAAAAGAAGTAACGTTTTTTTGAAATTTTAATAAAGTAAATTGAGATAGATAAGTTTATAGATTAAGTGGTTGCATGTGTAGACGTTTGTAGATATTGGTGCATAGTGCGGGTGAATGTTTCTTAGAGACAAGTTAATTTCTTAATTTTGTGCAAGGTTAGTGTTGTGTGGGTGAGATACACGAATATATATTTATTGTATTTTGTCACACCCACCAGACAAGCAGGAATACTTAGTAAAAGAGAAGTAGATAAGTCGTTTTCGTTTGAAAAGAATGGGAAAATCAAAATAATGAGTGAGAAGAAATAATTTTATTTTTTATACCCAATGCCTTTTTGATGATTTTTTTTTCAAGCGGCTGCTATATCAAATTTGGTTATAAGAACAGAGTGTATATCAACGAAAATATTAAATACAAATTTAAAAAAGCAACAAAAAATGCTTAACTTACAACACTAGTTATTCTAAGCAAGAAATACCGACTATTTTTGCATTTTTTAAAAGTAATTTTGATTTGACTGATATTTCTTTTAATATCGAAAGAAAACTGGAAAAGTTCCAAAAAAATCCTGAAAATTCCAGAAAAGTAAGACACAAAAACATTTAGAAAAGCGTCGAAAATATTTGCCAAACACACAAAAAAGCCGAAATCCAGACAAATAAATCACGTACATATAACCTCGAACAAGTCTCAAAAAAATATAACTCGAACTCCCAAAAAGTTCCGAAAAACTTCGAAAAATTCAATACTAAGAATTCCGAGTAAATGCCGAGAATTTCTTAAGGTAAAACACGAAGTATTCCGAAAAACATAGGAAAATAAATCACAAAAGATCCCGAAAAGTGCCGGAAAAAATAAAAAAATGTCTCAAAAAGTTCCAAAAAGTAAAACAGCAAAAATATCGAAAAGTATCGAAAAAATCAAAAAAAGGTCCCGAGAAATAAAACACGAGGGCTCCCTAAAAATCTCGAAAAAATCGAAAAAATGTCTTAAAAAATAACAAGAAACAACATAGTATTTATCGCTCGGAATAATAAAAGTTTGCATTTTAAAAAGTCCTATTATAAAATAGAAGAGGAAAAGCGTTACGTCAACTTCTTCACCAGCTCTTCTTGATTACAAAAAAATAAAATTTTTTCAGTCGCTCGATTTTTTTTTTGAGGTTAGCAAGAAAATTAGAGCAAGTGTCACAATTCTGATTTCGAATTCAGATTCAGATATGGACTGACTACTTTATTTATGAAGCTCTGTAATCGATGTCGTTCGGCAGGCGTATTCGTGCGACTTCATTCTTTAAATACTCGATCTGCAATTCTCACCAGTCTAATTTCTAGCGCATTTCATATACATACAACGTAAAATTACTAAATACTGTCTGAATTAGCAGGCAGATGTATTTGCTGTCATCGAAGACTGTCGTCTCTGTAACGGGTTGCAATTTCTCAGGTAGCTGGTTAAGAATTGCAGAACTAATTCGGGAAAAATTTACTTTGGGCCACTGGTCATTGCAATATTTCCGAAAATGAGACTGTATGAGTTCGACAGAGACCTTATTTGGTGATCGGATCTCAATACCAATCGGAACTAAATACAGGGAAATTTTTCTCTACAATCTTCAACAATCTGGTCGGGCTTATCGAAAGCCACCATTGGTAAAACTAATAGGTTAAAATCATTGTGACGTTAGAACGGGATTAAGGGTAGTCCGCAAGAGGGATGCTTGATAAATAGACTCCCGTAAAATAAAAGCGTTAACGCCTGAGATTGTAGACCAGTACAATCTAATATCCAGCAATTATTATATAAAGGGGGTGCGATTTCATGTTTACTGCTCTATCAAAAATGTTTTTTTTTTTTCGTAAGATCTTCGTTCGATCGAAAGCTATACCTGCTGACCAGCATTTTTTTCTGATGAAAGTATCATAGATTTTTCCTCTCTCTGTATGAAATCCCGCCATTGTAAACGCGCTCTGTGGGTCATACAGAAATTATCCCCTTTCGATCTCGTGCTTTAATTGCTGCGAAAAACCTAGACATGAACAAAATTTTAGCGCCCTCATAATTAACTATTATCTGCATTGGGTATAAAAATTTCGTGGTTTAAATAAACTCAAAAAAGGTAAAATTTCTTGTGCCATAATGATTAGTTACTTACGCGGTCGTGATGGTGGCTCTGCCGTTTCCTCCAATATGCGCAATTCGATTTCCAATGACTGTATCTCATCGTAGCCGCGCTGCATAAGTTTCATAATTTTCTTAATGAAACCAACATAATCTGCGAAGTAAAAAAGGAAAGAACAAAAGAATTCGAAAACTTTATATCCACTCGAAAACACAAAACTCTCGCTCCTTCAATCACTTCCTCACTCACTCACCATCACTCTCTCGCACACAGACCCCCCACACTCACACATTTCACTCACTTACCTCTTGGAAAATCTTTCGGACTAACCAACTCCTTGAAGAAGTCCTGTGCAATTTGTGCCTGCTTCTCGTCGTTGCGCAACCATTGCCGGAACCAGAAACGCAGCGTTCGTGATTCTTGTGAATGTTTGCCTGTATTGGCACTCACGAGGAAAACACGAAACTCCAATGACAGCTGTGCTGGTATACTTTGGCTTTTCTGTCCGCTAACTGTATCCTTATTGATTATGATGCCTGTATGATCTCCACCAGCAACATGGACCCGCTCATTTATCTCATCGACCAATTTGCGTTCGATCAGTATAACAGTACTATTGGCTGTTTTACCTTTGGGCGTCATTACGACTTGCTCTTGATCAGTGCGCGGTGGCGTGTGACACGACCTACGGCCATTGACGTTCTGATTGTGGCGCAGCAGACTACCCTGATTGTCTGTCAACGAGGATATGCTGCCACTGCGACTGCCACTAGCGCTGCCATTACCATTTCCGTTGGCATTCGCGAATGTGCCGTTGCCATTTGCTGCATACGTTTCGTATGGTGTGGTACCATTGGCGGTGACGGATTTGTTTGGTTTGGGAGGTGGTGGCGGTGGTGCCATTTGTGGATGACTTCTAGCTGACATGATTGGTTGGGTGTGTTTGTCCACCTATGTATGTATTTATATTGATGTTCTGATTTCCCCCCGTTTTTATTCTATTTATTTGTTTATTTTTGATATTCCACTTGTTTTTGCAACCTTGGCTGCGTTTAATATATTCAAAACTTCGAAAATGCCTCAAACTTTTTGTAGTCTATTGTGTTGACCTGAAATAGAAAGAGAAATTGACATTAAGACTTTATGTGGTTGAAAACACTGTGAAAATTTTTATTGCAAAATAAGTGCTTCAGGAATGATTAGCAATATAACTTAAAAAGATAGGATACGGTGAAATAGAGGGCATTTGGCATTTTAATATCTTGTCGGTAACAACTTAAGACCTCCTAAATAATGCTTTGGAAGTCAGGTATCCCTAACAGCTAAAGGTCCCTCTGGATCAGCCTGCGTTGTTTTCTTGAAATATTCGGGTTTTAACCGATCGAATGTTCGAAAGACAAGCCACCCAGCTAGCATTTATACTCGTTATTATGAAGATGGGACAACACCGAAACCGGGTTTTCTCCACAAAAAAAAAATTTACAAGGGATAACTGTCTAACGGCCAAAATATTGATTGTGTCATGTATTGGAAACATAAAATTATTTGCAGTATTCTGTAACAATGCCCATTTTTAATTGTTTTTCCAATGCGTGTATCACTTAAGCCGCTGAAGTAACCTAGTTCCAACTTTGAGGCAGACGGTTAATACATATTGAGTACGTGACAACGACGGAACAATGTTTATATTCCATGGGCTTTATTTCCCCCAAAAAAAAAGCCCATGAGCGTTATTTCCATTTCGAAGGGGAAATAGCTGGCCATAATGTCGGCTTTATCCAGCTGCCTGCTCTCTTGCTTCCGATGTGATATAAACAGTTCCTAAATATATAAGAAAATCTAAACAATTCTTAGTCAAAGATAACACTTTTTTTACGGTGTAGCTCAGAAATATGAATTTCAGCTTTTATGAGTGCATAATTTAAACGTCTACGTATGTATGTATATACCATATTTATGTATATTTGACTATGTCTGTCTCTCCATACGTACATATGTATGTATTATATGTGCATATGTACTGGTATGCAAATTTTCCTTTTTCATACGTTTCTCTTTTGTACGGATATCTATTAAAGACATTCGTGTTCGAAAAATATTCAAAAAGAAACCCAAGAATGGAAAACCATTAAGAAGGAAAAGGAAAAGTTGCTTTAACTCTGATTAATTTCAGTCATAAAATTTTGTCCGATATTTTTGATTTCGTGCGCAAGCTATTAAATATTGGCGTAGTTGCATACCTACGGTGACCAGATTTCTGTGGAAAAAAATTGGGACATTTCTAAAGCAGCGAATCCGAACATACAATTTTGTTTTCAGAATAAAAAGTCATAACATCTTTTAATACAGTTTTATTTTCAACAAAATAATGAGAAAGAAATTTATACACACAATATATACGGGGGTGAATAGGGAAGAGACTTTTTGGCAAATTTTGGCTAGTTTTCTTTGTTTAAAAAAATATAATTTTTTTTAATGAAAATATAGCTTACTATCCCAAAAAAAAACCATCTAAATCAAAATTTTAAACTTTGTAGAAGATTAACAAAAATTCGATGAATTTTAACAAAAGAAAAAAACAATTAATCCGATCTTTTAGAATTGTTTTCTGTACGTAGTTTTTGTTGCCCATTCAATTCAATGCGCAAGTTTGAAGCAGCCCGAATTTTCTTCCATACAAAGTGTGTTCTACAATTTTTTGGTATGGAGAAAATAAGCAACACGTTTCACAAAAAAAAAATCCAAAAATCAACAGTAAATCCTACTTACTTAAAATTTGCACTTTGTTATTCTAAAGTTGAATGGACTACAAAAGTGCATACTCAGAATGTTGCGAGGAAATCTAATTAAAAAGCTCAAAATTTTGGTGAAACTTCGTCGAACTTATGCCGATTTCATTTCTACTGAAAAATGCGACCTTTCTCTTTGCCCTCTACGCACAAACACTAAAAAGAGGGCGATGGGCAGGCAACTTTTTTGTAGAGACGAAATCGCCATTAGCTAATTTTTTTACATGGTCTTTGTTAGATAACGAGCTTCACGTTCACAAAAAAAATTATAAACATTAAATAATCGAAAGCTATTCCCCTTCCAAAAAATGCTAAAATGCCTCTTGCCTATTTATATTTTTGCCACAATATCTCCAGTTTATGTTTTTCACATACATGAATTTTTTGAGGAAGTTAGTATTATTTTTTATAATTTCATTAAATTCAGTTAGAATCGTTTCATAAAAAAAAAACAAATAACACGGTGTTACACTGACCATGAACTTTTTAAGTGACCTAGCATTTTACAGGTCGTAGGCCTGGTCGAGTAATTCACGAAACTGCGTTTGAAATTTTTGTAACACCCTCAAATTCTCAACTTATTCTTAAAACACATTTTTTACAGAACTTCCCGCACTAAACAATTTTTAGCTCGCTTATTATTTTCATTTTTAATATGGCTTTGGAGAAAAGAATATTGATACTATTTAAATAAAATAATAAGTTTTGTGAGGACAGTTTGAATTTGCCTCTTTATAAAAAAATGTGACAACTGCATAATTTGTTGATTAACTTTAATGAAACTTTATTTTCGAACTAATAACTATAAGAGACTATTTGCAGTAGAAATTTTGGCAAAAATGTATTAAAAGTGGATAAATTTATAAAAATTTGTGTAAATTTCCGATTTATTTCAAAAATTTTACACATATTTACAATATCCTCACAAAAATTATTATTTCTTTAAATAGTACAAAATTTATTCTTTCTTAAAAACTTAAAATTGGTTAAAAAGAATGGGAGTATTAGAAAAATTTTGAAAACAGTTTCCTGAATTACTCGGCCAGATCTACGACCTGTACGAGGTCACTTAAAAAGTTCGTGAAACTTTTATTTATTTTGTAACACACCGTGTAATTATAAAAACCTTTAAAAAAGTTCAAACAAGAGTGATAGACTGCAATATAGCGAGAGTTTGACATAATAAAACATAACCAAAAATCATACAAAATAAGGATGCTGGCTATGTTTATGGCCCCCTTAGAATATGTTGAATATAGAATATCGTCACCTGAAATGCAAAAAAAAAAAAACGTAACGAACATCATCGCTGAAATACAAAAAGTCGTTACTAACGAAAAATTCATAATTCAGTTTTTGATTGATATGATGGATTTCATCGAATTACAATTCCAACATCATTTTATGAAGAAAATAAAAAATATTAGTCAGGACTTTTTCCATTTCAATTACGATGTTGTTACGTCTTTTTGCATTTCAGGTGACGATATGTTCTTTGTGATAACGAAAGTGCTGCCTCGTTTGTACGAAAAATTGTTTTTGAGCCAGAGCACAGCGAGAGTCTTCATAAATGAATGAAGAAAATACTGAAAATATGACTTAATCGGTACAAATATGAAAAAACGGGACACTTATACGTCCTGACTTAAAAAAAAAAAATAAGCGGGACAATTGTCTCAAAATCGGTACTGTTCCGCCAAAATCGGTACGAATGGTCACCGTATGCATACCACAGCAACGGCTCCAATATATGTATATACATATGTGCAAGTACAGGTATATTAACATGCAAGGTAAAACACTATTCGAACTGACAATTTATGTGTAGATTTGTAACAATACATACATATGTATAAATTTTAGGTTTTTTTTTTTTTTCATAGCAAAAAAAATATTTCGGCACTATTTCGCCAGCCCATTTTGCACCAGGCGAAAGTAATTTGATGCACAGGCATACATAGTACATACAAGTTTTATACCCTGCAGGAAAAATTTTTTAATTTATTTCTAGAAACAGTTACCAAAATGTAATGTCAGGAACATTTACAAAAAAGAGCCAACGGGGGAAAAAGTATTGAGAGCAGTTTTAAGGGAACAAAATGAGACCAAAGGATTCGGGAATGTTTCCGTAAAGAACAAGATGCGAAATTTTTTTTTAGCAAATATTTAGGAGCACCGTTAATTTCTTCATGATCCAACGATCAAGGCTAAACCAAATTAGTATGGAACCACCATTGAGATACCACCGATATTCCAATGAATTAATAACCTTCCGCGTTTTTTTTTTTTAAGTCGGTTAAAAATAAATAAATTCAAGTAGGAGAAAATATTAGAAGCACCAAAGATTTACGCCTACGCCTCCAAATTCCTTAAAAGGGCACATTCCGAAACGCTGGACTTTCCTAGAGAGTATCAATGTATATTTTTCGAAGTTTGAATTTACAAGTAAAGGTAAACAATACTCGTTCAACAAAAGCTGCAATTGTATCAGAATGTAGTGAAGTTTGGTTTTTTTTTTCCTTATTTTTTTAGAGTAGGTAGGTAGTAATATTATTTACGACTTGTTTACATTTAACTCTACACGGTAGCTATCAATTTCACGAAATTTGTTAACATCACGTCAGTTTTATCGTTTGCTAAATGTGAATATGCCTGTGTGTTGGCTGGTAACCTGATCCCGTCTAATTTTTTTCTAGGTCAAAGTAGAACGTGTGCCTCAACGTTGGAAGCATTACGACTGCGCGCTTGAAGATTCATGTGTACATACATATGTATAAAAATATGTAATCCACACCACCAGATTGACTAATGACATTTACGTCGACGATATTGGCAAAGTGATAAAATTTCAATTAAGCTGACATATTTGCCCTTAATTTGAGGTGTGATGGCAGGCAGCCGACCATTCCGACACTTTCGATTTTTATTTGGAACAATTTACGGCGCATTTAATTCGCAAAAATCCACGTACATATGTACATATGTTTGTATAAAAAACATATGTTTCGGTGCACGTTCACTCCCAAAATAGGCAAAAATCGCCCAGGCGCATGACATCAAATTAAAAGCCATGTAAAGTGCTTTAAACGTGTTCAGGTACACAGGTAAGTACGAGTCATTAAACAAGCACTAGAATGCATATAAGCAATTATTTTCAGTTTTA